AACCACTGGCTGGGACCCCAACATGCACCCGTCACCCACGCCTCACCTGCTCACGCCATCCTTGAACAAGCAGACATCACGGGGGGGGGCTTTTCAGCTATACACGCATACAGGACAGCTGGATTTATGACTGTGCCCTACTACCAATCCGCCTCCCACATGAGAAATCCCCTCAGCCAACATCAACTCCGTCCATACTATCCTCGTACACTTGAATCGCGCTTCGACCCGGTCGGTCATTTGCGAATTCGTCGGACTAAGACCGTCAAACTAGTATTATGAGTCCCGAGATACATCTTACGAGGCCACCTCACTTTTCCACGTTTGTATGGAGTATCTGGTAATCGCACTGGAACCGTTTTATTCGGTTTAACTTAGTATCATAGCTTGTAAGATTGTCAGCCGTCGTGATAGCCCAGTCCTTCCTGAGATTGGAAGTCAGGCTGTGATAGCTTTCTTAATGGGGTAGTTAGGATCTCCTAATTTATGTGGAATTCGAGACTACTTGAAGGTAGTCCGGTGTATGTGACGTTAGGGATCGAAGCGTGTTAGGCACGCGTAGACGGGTTGACTAGCTTTGTCAACACTGAAACCACGCCATCTTGGCCCTGTTTTGGCATCGGAAGGGCAAAGTGTGGTACCTGCAGGGCCCACCTCGTGGAGTGGCGACGGAAAGCATCGCCTACGATGGAAGGAGATCAGTCGAAAGGAAGATATGTCGGTAGGACGGTCTTTAGAGCTCCTACTTGCCTTTGACTTATAATAATAACCTAATTTTGCATTTTTAGTAGCCCGAGTTTCCTTTTTTGTTAACTTACGCCAAGGTGGGGTCAAAGTCCCATCAATAGGCATCCATTGCCTAAGCAACAGGAGTTAATGTTGGCGGAGTTGATTATATTTAGCTCATTAAAAGAACTATATATGGCCTTAATTTGACATGCTTTGGTCACTTTCAAAACAATTAAATATTCATTTACACCCGTTAACCAATAATTAAGTATCTGAAATGGATCCAACAAAGCAAAGGGAGATCGGAATAGCCATTTCTGGCCATGTTCCTCTCTTAGATCGGCGAAACATACATCCATCATATTCCCGATCTCAACCGACAAAGCAAGGAGCCCTTCGACTAGTGGTAGAGTATTTAACTCAATGACCAAAGGTTCCGGGTTCAAATCTCGGGGGTTCCAACCTTCGAGATTGGGTATGACTGGCTGATGACGGCTAACAAGCCAGAAACGGCCATTCCGGTCTCCCTTTGCTTTGTCGGATCCATTTCATCATATCATCATAGTCACCATGTGACGGTCTGGCGGGTCCACGTTGGCAAAGTTGAACTTAATTGTTCCTCTACTAGATCGGCGAAGCACATACATTCAGTTCAATGTTTATTAGGAGGTTTGGCAGATTTGCTTGATTTGAGTTGACCCAGTTGTGAAAAACTCGAGGCGTTCCCGCCGAACGCCTCGAGTTTTTCACAACTGGGTCAACTCAAATTAAGCAAATCTGCCAAACCTCCTAATAATTAGGTCCGCCTAGTAGTCATTCTGGTGGATTCTAGATGATTGCTTAGGAAATGCTGCTT